CACACACACACACACACACACACATGGCGCCACGTGAACCAGGTCCTTCATGCCGTCTTCTCCGAATCCGAGCACTCGCTCTTCTCGTGGGCATGGTCGGCGGCCGCCTACCCGGCCGGCGTGGAGCATGAGTTCCTCGAGGTGCCGTCCCAGCTCTTCGAGAACTGGGCCTGGTCGGTGGACGTCCTCCTCCGGGCGGCCCGGCACTACCGCACCGGGGAGGCCCCCTCGCGCGAGACCCTGGAAGCCTTGGTCCGTACTCGGACCGCCGGGCTCGGGGTCCGCTACGCCCGGCAGATCGCCCTGTCCCGTGTGGACATGGACATGCATGGCGAGCCGCCGGCCGGCGGTTGGACCGCCGACCGCCTGCGCGCCCTCTACGACCAGGCAGTCCTCGACGCCACCGGCATGGCCTCGGCCTACGTGCAGGCCGAGGCCGAGGGCCAGGCCATCGGCCATGTTCGCGACCCGGATGCCGACATTCGGCCCTGCATGCTGGGCTCCTGGTTCCACATGGTCCAGGGCTATGACGCCGGCTACTACGGCTACCTGTGGGCCGACGTTCTGGCCCAGGTGTGCTACTCGCTGTGCGTGCTCCCCATTCACGGGGAGGGACATCTTTCCCGCTTTCCCTTTCACCCGTCTTTTGCCGTTCCCTCCGTCGTCTCTTCCTTCCTTCCACACACACACACACACACAGCCCGCTACTGACACGTGGCCCCGCCGCCACCGCATCCACTGCTGCTGCTGCTGCTGCCACTCCCACCACCACGGCCGCCACACCGCAGGTTCAAGCAGTCGCCCGATCAGTTGAATGACCGCAAGCAGGGCCAGCGCGTGCGCCGCATGCTCCTCGAGCCTGGTGCCACCACCGACGCCAGCGACATGCTTTCGGAGTTCCTCGGCTCCAACTACCAGTCTGACATCCCCAGCGTCCGGTGCTTCATCCGGAATATCTTCTACTAGGAGGGCGATGCTCTCGCGGCCGGTGCAGGTCGCGCAAAGGGCCGCGTGGCCGCGAGGGAATAGGCCGGCTGCGTGCTAACCTCGATTCGCGCGCGCACACACACACACACGCATCCCCCGATGAGGAAGAGCCGCTCCGCCCCGCCGGGGAACCGGCGGGGCTGCCCCGGGCACAAGCCGGGCCTTAACTCGATCGGCCCGGGGCCGGACCAATAGATAACATGTGACTTTAAACTCGACATGGATCACGTGCCCATTTTCCCTTCTTTTCAGCATCCGGCCCGTTCGACGCGATTCTTAACTGACCCCGTCTGAACGCGGATCCCGGCCGACCCCGCTGGCCGGGGTCTCGCGTGTCCCGGCGCGCCAGTCTCCTGGCCCCCTTGCGTCCCCGCGCCCTCTTCGGGACCGGGGAGCCATCCCGCCGGGCGCGGGCCGAGGTGAATTTAGCCCGGTCGATTGTGGGCCCCGGAGTCCGCTGTCCCGGCCCTGGAATCTGACCCCTCGATGTCCTGGGGGGGGGGGGGCCCGAGGCACGGGGCGCTGGGGACGGTGGAGGGCTCGGCCGTGCGCTCGCAGCCCCGGCCGATGGAGAACAAATCTGGCAGAGAGACTCTCTGGCGAGTCCGGCCGCACATCACCCGTGGCGGGGCGTGGATCGATCTCCTCCCATCCACTCGCCCGCCTTATGCGCCCTCCCCGGGCAGGGGGACTCACGGCGAACACCGGCAGTGTCCCTGCCATGGCGGCTCGCATGGGATGATCTTCGAGCGCGGGGTCTCGCGTGCGTGCCGCGCGCGCGCGCGCATATGTGTGTGTGTGTGCGCTCCCTCTTCTCTTTCTCCCCGGCTTCGGCCACGGTGGACGGGTGCCCCGGCGCCGGCGCTCGCACGCCCCCAGCCGCGGCAAGGCCCGACATCCCCATTGGCAGAGGGTAGGTGGCGAGGGCCGACCCTGGACGACGCTGCCCCCGATGCTCGGTGTCCCGGGCCAGGCTAAAAGAGGGCCGCTCCATCGCGGCCACAACCAGCGCCAGAGCATCATCCTTTCCCCTGTCCTCAACGAAGTACTTGCACCGCGCTCGATCCGCCGCCGCCCGGCCGCCCCTTCTCTCTCTCTCTCTCTCTCGCCCACCAAGTGCTCATGCGCCGGTGCTGACCACTCCGCCGCCCCGCCACAGAAGCCCGCCTCCAAGCTTTGCTGTCTCCTCGTCGCCCACTCCCCTCGCTCCTTTTGGCCTACTACAGACGCACACGCACACGCACACGCACACGCACACAACATACTACACCTATGATAAACGTCCAGACGACGTCGCCCGTCGACCTCGTCGGCTCGATCGATGAGATCGTCATCGCCTCGCTGCAAACGGTGGTCCTCACCCTGTCGGTGGTGGGGCTCGGGGCCCTGTTCATCGCCACCTACGGATCGGGGTCCACCCTGCGCGGGCACCTGGCCCGGAAGAATGTCTACACCGTGCTCAACAGCCTGGCCTTCAAGGTCCTGACGCCGGCGCTGATTTTGACCCGAGTCACGGTGGCCATCACCGGGGCCCGGCAGGCCGTCAAGCTGTGGCCGGTGCTGCTGACCTCGGTGGCGTACGCCCTGTTCGGGGTGTACCTCGGGTTTTGGGTGGTGCTGCTGTCGCGCGCGTGGGCCTACTTCACCGGCTGGCATGGTCGGGCCTCGGCCGGGGCCGACCAGTCGGAAGAGGCCACGCCGGTCCTCGGGCCGAGGCTCGGGGCTCGGGGCGCCGGCCCGGAGGAGGGCCCCAGCCCCGGGGACCCCTCCGCCGGCAGTGCCTTCCGCCGGGCCGTGCAGGGGATCTTCACCCCGACCGGCAAGTTCCTCCTGTCCCCGGCCGAGGGTCTGCTCATCCTGGCCTGCACATTCAAGAACAACACCTCGCTGATTCTGCCCCTGGCCTCGGCCCTCTGCATGCAGACCGACCTGTGCCTGGTGCCGCCGGGCCCCGGCGGCATGGACACGCGGCTCAAGGCCACCGCCCGGGCGGCCGCCTACACCATGCTCTTCATGGCCGCCACGCAGATCATCAAATGGTCCTTCGGCATTCTGCTGGCCGGCCGCACGCGCCGTGTCAGCGACCGCCCGGCCTACGGGCGGCCGCCCAAGGAGGACCTCGAACTTGGGTACCTGCCTTCCTCCGCTGGCAAAACGCGTGCGTGTGCCCCCTTGTGCATGGGCTTGCATGGTGTTGTACATGTGTCCGGCGGGAGGGGACTTCGGTCTTGGGGCGCGCAGCAGGCGGAGAGCCACCCCCACAGCCGGGGGCCCGGGTCGGCCGTGGTAGCAGCGGACGAAGGGGGACACCGAGGAAGCGCCAGAGAGGGGGGGGGGGGGGGGCCTGTGGGGGGGGGGGGGGGGGGGGGGGGGGGGGGGGGGGGGGGGGGGGGGGGGCGGTGCCTGCCCGCGATCGGCGCCGCGGGCCGTGCGGGCCGG